TTCTAATGACGATATCAAAGACTATAAAAATAAACACAGAGTATTTTTATTGATTATTATAATATATATATTGTGTCCATTCCAATCCCTTAGAGCGAAGAAAAGCATCGAGAACAATGAACGATACGATGGCAAAATTGTAGAATAATATATTTTGTATATCGATATTTTTAAACAATATAATGAAATTTATTGACGGTGTAATAACATTAAAATAACATTAAAGTTTGTGTACATATTTGCTTAAATATACTTTCTTTCAAATCATTTTTTAATATTAAAACACTGTTAATTATCAACGAACTAATTCTGTAATAGAGGTTGATATTTTATTATCTTGCACTTTATGTGTAAAAATAATACACCTGTACAATGTATTATCACGTTCCTCAGTTTTTATTTTTCTTACTATAATTTCAAAATAAAAAAAGTAATGATCATCACATAAAAGGAAAGAACGATTTAGCAATTTTTATGAACGTCGCCATAATATGACAGAAAAGATAAAAAAAGAATCGTGCAAAAATACACAATTTTAGACAATTCTGCGATATGAAAATGATCGAAATTTGGAATGGTCGCAATCAATAATACAGATTCCGAAGAAGGATAAAACAGAGAAATCGAGGGATATTTTAACGTTACATATGCTCTCGTTGCATCGTTTTCATATATTTCCCGAACTGCCTCGAGTGTTCCTGTTAAACAACGCGAGATCCCACGGGGCGATTCCTCGCTACGTTACTGCCTATACTCGCGCGATAATAAAGTACTCGACACAACCGATTTCGTGCCGCGAGCACATGTAAGTCGCATCTTGTTCTCGGGGTATATCATCGGATGTTACAGTCGATCGTGCACTCGACAATTTTCAACGAAGGAGTTGCAACCCGAAGCGAGTAGATAAACAAAATGGTCGCGAAATGGATCGTAAATGTCGTATATTCTAACCATCGACATTTTTATTATGATGTTACCTTAAACATATACCCAGTCACCATTTAGATATCGCAAACCACGCTCCATTCAGAAATGCTTTTGATTTCTATCACGAGATCCTTATTCAATAAGTTCCGTAATTCGCGAGTTTGAAGTTCACAGAAAATTTTAATTAATCATTTTCATCATAAATTAATTCAATTATGAAAAGAAGACAAATTGGCAAAAAAGATAGATAGAATAAAAAGAATAAAAGGGGTTGAGATGTAACATGTTTAATATATTTGGAGTACATTGTTAGCGTACCATACAGTACGTTTCCTTAAATGAGATCCAATACCCCATAAATAAATCCCGTAAGCAATAACAGCGCTTTTCGATTTCATTTTGAGAAATTTACTTCAGAGTCCAGAACTTCACGCTTCTTTTTTCTTTCCCCTCCTCCTCTATTTCTTTAAGAAACATTGTTTCTGTCTAACAATCGACGCCAATCTTCCACTCGTATTTGCCATTGTAAATCGCATAACGACTCTCCATAATGTCCCAGATCTTCATTTCTTTTTTTTTATTTATTTTTTGTCATTCTTTTTCGCTTTCTTTTCCCGTTCTCGCTTGGCAACTACCATCTTTGTCGTTTATCAGCAGCCGTAGCAAACATCAAATGAAGACTGTCTATCCGCCGTCTCCTTGATGCCATCACAACTCGAAAGAACAACGTACAACCTTCAAGTAAAACAATGCATCGAGAAATCTCAGAAGAGCATAGGTTTGACGGATATATTTTATTCCGCCCTTCTTTCTACTCCCCTTATATATCTCTTTCCTTTTTCTCCTCCTCCTCCT